GTTATCAATTGCATGGTAGATGCAAATGGCAGATGTTGGTCTACCATGGTCTCAGGGGGCCAAAGCAGGAATCTTTCATAAGGAAAGAGGTGCTAGTAACCATGCCAGGACCACAGGTATAAATAAACCAGGACTGTTACAGGCCATGAGGATGGTCATCCTGGGGAAAGGGGATGTGAATTAGGAGACCCAGTCTGCACCCCTAACCCTACCCCTTCCTTTTCATGTGGTCTTCCATGAGTCACTTGTCTATGTTTCTAGCTCATATAAATGTAAAGGCAACTGGATGCTTACCATCATCCATTTAAAAATGAACACCGTTTCTTTGACTATAACGTAACAGATTACGTGGTATCTAAAGTGTTTTTCTTATTCTAAGATTCCAAGTCTGCGTGACCCTGTAAAAAGGCCACTTGGGTGATGAAGTAGTTATGCCAGAGCCCTTTAGGATTATATTTAGATGACCGTCTTTACATAAACAACAAGGAAGCTATTTTACTAATTTGACTTCAAAAAAAGAAGACCTGTACCTATTCACCAAAATCGATGCTATTTGGTTAAATCACCAGCAGAAGCTCCACAGTTGCTATGGTTCCCAAGAGGCCAGCTGTGACTCACTTGCCCAGAGCCTCAGGTTCTGGCAAAGGGGAAGGGCCTTTCTCCTGCTCGTCTTATGCCTGAGACCTAACGCTGTCCTCCTTCTTCGGCCTGTAGGAAGCAAATGGGAAGCGAAAGGTGAACCGTCTCTTTCCCTCTCATTGGTTCCATCGCCAGCCCACCTCCTATTGGCCAGCCCTGACTTTGGCCGGCTCTGCACCCTCATTTCTGGGAGACGTCCAAATGGTTAGCTAGTCAAAGGCCAAATTTAATATTCCGAGCTTCACTCAAGCAAAGGTCACATGCCCATCTCCTAGAATCTCAGAATTTTGGAGCAAGGAGAAACCTTATCTACCATATAAGCTTTAATTTCTAGATGAGGAAAAAAACAACGACAAACCAGAAACAATAACACTTGTTAGTATTCAGGCTTTGTGGAAGGGACTGTGCTAGATGCTTTCTATCAATTACTTTATTTCCTTCTTACCACAACTCTAAGGGAGCGATTCTCATTACCCCCCAATGTTCAAAATGAGGAAACTGAGGTTGTCAGGGGCTTGATAATTGCTACTTGGCTTGTTCAATTTAATCCAAGTATTTGTTAGTGACAGAAAAAGGAATGTTTGGAGGAGAGCAATGGAGGGGGAAAAATGAGGAACATTTGTAATGATATGAACAATAAAGATTATAAATAAATTTTTTTAAAAAAGGAATGTGAACCACGTTCTGCTGATTCTCAGGACACTGTTCTTTCAACTAAAACAATCAACAGGGAGGCAACAGGCATTCATTATGCGCCTACCATGGGCCAGGCGCTGTGCTGGGTGCCAGGACCGTCAGGAGGGTTGGCAAATGAAATGAATTGTAACATCAAATCCTGCCCTTCTAGGCTCTCCAGAGGAAAAGAGATTGCTGGGTGTGTACAAAACTCTGTCTCCAGGGGGGTTATAAATGCTTGCTAGAGGCCTGCTTAATGCTCAGAATATCCCCCAGGAAGTGAGAGTGGGCAGACAAGGAGGAAAGCCTCACTCTGCCTCTTGTGCAATTGAGAGAAGTGAAGCAGAAACAATGAGAGGGTTTGCCCAATACAAGCCAATGAGGTCAACTAGTTTTGGTTCCTTCCCTCCTATGCACCTGCCAAAATGAAAATCTCCACTCAGGAGTCTCTGATCACTGCAGGGCTGAAGGAAAATGATCACTGAAGGCAAATCCTTCTGATGGGAATTATGTTACTAAGCTTCTCGCAAGTAGCCAAACCTACTCATTAGAACTTCATTCCTTCCCTCTCTTCTCTTTTGATGTGGACAAGCCAGGGCATGGGCAGTCTTCGAATGACACCACTAAGAGCTGGGACTGTCAGGGTGGATTATATTACAGCTACATTAAAGCCAAGTTATGAATGAACTGTTCCATAATAGTATTGGAAATAATGATGCGGCCGTAACGGATCACCTGTGCTGTGCCAGACACTCTGCCGAGTGAGTGCTCTGCACAGATGGCCTCACTGAGCCTCACAGCAAACACAGGGGCCAGTCCAAGGTCTGTGTGTAGCTTATCAATGCGAGGAGGCCCCTCCTAAGGAAAGGCTAACATTGTAGAGGGCCCCCTGGGAAGGCACATGGGCATTTCTTTAATTACTGTCAGCTGAACTCAGGGCACTAGGCAGAGCCACACCTGGAAACATGCTTTCCCCCAAAAGGCGGACATGTTATCAGTACTGACTTTTTACCTTTGTCCAGGTGTCAGGGAGAGGGCTTTGATATATAAATCCAGTCAAGCACCAGGAATGCTAGGGCCTATTCAAGAATGCAAATAAGCTCCTTTGGGTTTTGGTGATACTTCCTGGTATTTTGGGATATATAAATAAATGTGCTGAGTGGACTCCGGTCTCTGTCCCTGCATCGAAGAGGATGGTGTCCCACCTGGCTCCCAGCTTTGCTTCTATCTTTCTATCTGGTCTCCTTCTTTCTTTTATTTCTTAATCCCCAGCTCCTCCACTAAGGAACCAGACCGTTCATTTTCCGTGCTGGATGCAGAAAAGAGAGAAACACCACAAATAACATCTTTCCTTTTCAAAGTAATGACACTGAAGCTCAGGCAAGTTAAGTAACTTGCCCAAAGACAAAAAAATACTTGTAAGTGGCAAGGCTAGGATTTGAACTCAGGTATTTTTTCTTGAAATCTCAGATATTTTTTCTTTGCATTATGTGGTTGCTAATAAAAATAAATAAATAAAGCTGTTATCATTTACAAAGCACTAACTATATAGCCCATGAAAATTATACTAATGTTCCTTAAGAATTATTATAACCTTTCTATTTATGTGAATCATTACTATCTCCATGTATAGATGGTAAAATCATCAAGAATTAAGAAAGATTAAGCACATATCTAGCAGAAGATCACCAGCTAGAACACCTGTTCGTGCGCAGGAAGCTGACCTGCAGACTCCTTACTCTTTCCCACTATCCCATGCTACCACCCTACAGGTGATCCAGGAGAGCACAATGGTGTTAATGGGAGCAGGAAACCTCTGGTTGACATAGAATATTTCCATTATCTGACCACAGAAGCAGCCCTGTCATTCGGTTTCACACACCACAGTGTTCCTTCATGGCGTTGGGCAATCCCACTTACCCTGTGCTATAATCTATTCGTTGGATCAGAGCCCAATCCCCATGGAGAAAACCACGCAAAAAGCCAACCACCAAATATCAATGCAAACTCAAGCCCTAGCCAAGACGTCTTACGGCGACTCCTGGCCCCATAAAGTATAGACCCACAGAGCGCCTGAGGGTGGCGAAAGCTGAGGCCCTGGGGCGGTCACTGGCCTCACAGGGTCTCCAGAAACAGCCACATTAAGAAAATTCACATATTGACTCTAATTGGGTTGCTTAACTCTAGTCACCCACGCAAGAGCGCGCATCCTTAAACCGCCTTGCCACGGGTGTTCAGGTGGACAGGAGTGAGGAACATTCCGTGCAGATCTCCCCTGGAACTTGGGTGCTCAGGGAGAGCAGTGATCTCTAAGCTCAGACAATGGGTTTCACCTCCCCTTGGCAATGCGAACCTAGAGAAAATGAAATTGTGCTCTCCTTTGGTGTTTTCTTTTGTCCAAGTTGTCTTTAATTGCTGGATTTTAATTAATGGATGGCTCTTGGAATCCTTCTATTAAAGGATTTGCCACCTGGAATGAGACAACTTGACCAACAGGGAGTAAGTGCAGGGATCAAACTGGACGAGGCCTGGCATGTTTATCCAGCCAGCAGCAAGTGCCAACCAGCGGGGGAATTAGGCACACAGTGATGGGTGCTGACAAGAAAAGCCACTCCTTGGAGGGTGGGGATAAAAGGGAGAGATCAACCAAAGGACTTGTGTGCACACATATGAGCCTAACCAGTGGTCAAGGACAATAGGGGGGTGGGCATGAGTAGGGAAGGGTGGGGGATTGGAATGGGGGATTGAGGACAAATAAATATGTGATACCTTAATCAATAAAGAAAAAAAAATTTTTAAAGGCCATTCCAGTGATTTATTTTTTTTTTAGGAAAAAGTGATCACAGTAACTCTCTCTTGTTCCTCTTTCCACATAGACCGGTGGATGTGGGTGGGAGGGCAGAGAAAATGACCACCGGTGAGGTCAAATGTTGAAGTCTCCGGGAATGGCTCTCTGTCCAGCCCACACATCTAGGGGAAGAGACAGATTCAGGTTCTTTGAAGAATCCATAAACACACCTTTGCCTGCAGCTCACGTAGCTGTTTGAGAAGAGCATGAATCGATGATGAGACAAAGCAGCACAGGCTGTTGGTGTAAGACACCCCGCTGCTAAGCAGGCCAGGCGGTAGGCACAGACTTGGAGGGACTGAAATGTCACCCAGCCCAGAGGCCTGGCCCGGCTACCAGCTAACCTGCTCGGCCCAAGGAGGCAGGAGCACAGCAGGCTACACACCCCTTTGTCACCCCAGCCCCACACCACTTCAAAGGCCACAGCAGGCAGCCGGCAAACTTGCCTCTTTTGTGGTACCTTTCATTTAGATGTTGTTGTTTTCATTAAGTGGGAGGGAAATGAGTTTGGGCTCACCAGAGATCAGGGTGAAGGGAGGAGGGCAGGGGTAGGGGATGCAAATGATAGAATATAAGTGAGAGCTTTTTAAAAAGTCTAGATCCCCAGCCTTATTTATTGTGATAAAGGGATCAATCATTTCCATGCCTCCCCATCCTTCTTTAACCCTTACCGACCAGCCCGGAGAAGAAGACAAGAAGAAAGGAAGGCTGCACCCGGAGGGTTTGCAGAGGTGCAGGTCCTTCTCGTGCACGAGGCTCGGCAGCGGGAGGCTCGGCTGCATTGCCCCCCCTTTCGCCCCCCTTGCTCTGCACCCGGACACACGCAGCCCCGCCTCACCTTCTCGATGGCCTGGTCCACGGCCTTTTGGAAGACGCGGGCCACGAGCAGCGTGACGCTGGTCACCAGCAGGAGGAGGGACAGCGTCCCCACCGCGTAGAAGCAGCACCTGCCCATGCTGCGCGCGGCTCAGGGCCGGGCGGCCCCGCGGCGGGAGGGAGGGAGGCGGGGGGCCGGCGCCCTCGGAGATGCCCGCGGGCAGGCCGGGGCGAGAGGGCCCGCGGGGCGCCCAGCCGGCGGGCCCGGGAGGGGAACCCGCCGCTTCGGTTTCGATTTCCGTCCCTGGGCAGCCTGGGCGCCGCCGGGCGGGCGCTGCTCGGAGCCGGAGCCGGAGCCGGAGCCGGGGAGGGAGGCAGCGCAGGCCTGACGCTCGCAGCCGGCTCGCCGCGCACTCACTGGGGAGAGCGCTGCGGCGGCGGAGGCGGGAGGCGGGCGGGGCGGGGGCTGAGCCTCAGTCATGTGCCCGCCGCCGAGGCCGCGATTCGGCCCGGGCGGCCCCGGACCCCTCCAGGCCCCGCCGCGCCCCCTCCGCCCGCGGCAGGCCTCGCAGGCCTCCTCCCTGCCCTGGCTGGTCTGGCTCAGTGGATAGAGCGTGGGCCTGGTTGGGTCAGTGGATAGAGCGCGGGCCTGCGGACTGCAAGGTCCCAGGTGTGATTCCAGCCAAGGCCACATGCCTGGGTTGCAGGCTTGGGCCCCAGCAGGGGGCGTGCAGGAGGCAGCCAGTTCTCTCTCATCACTGATATTTCTATCTCTCCCTTCCTCTCTAAAATCGGTAAAAAAAAAAAAAATTGTATTTTTTTAAAAAGTCACCTGTCCTGAGCTAATTCACACACACACACACACACACACACACACACACACACACACACTCTGCAGATATGTGCTGCAGGCCTACCAAGCGCCAAGCACTGGGCATTCAGGATGGATACAACCTGTGCTAGACGAGCTGACAGGTTAGCGGGGTCGCTGTTACAGCAACTGTGTCTCCGTGCTTTTACAGGTGCGTGCTGAGATCTGTGCAACAAGCACGTTCTGTCCCGGGACCTGGGACCCCACAGTTGAGCTGGGTTTGGGGGGATGTGTAAGGGTTTGTCACCTGAGGGGTGTGTGCAAGGGAAGGAAGAGGCATTCCAATGAGAAGAAGTGTGCTAAGAAAAAGGTGGGGGTGAGAGAGCAAGATTGCAGGAGGAAAGAGGACGTCCTTTGGATGACAGGCTCGGGCGCAGCCGGTGAAGTGGGAGGTGTGGAGAGGCCTCGGGGTCAGGCTTTGCAGGGCTCTTTGTGTCCCACGGGAGAGTCCGGGCTTTATCGGACTTTATCTCTCAGCCGTGGGAGTCAGCACGCAGCTCCAAGCAGGTGGCCCTGGTGTTGCCATCAGCTCTGCTCACCACTGTCTCCCGGGCACCAGGGCTAAAGCCGGCACACAGCAGGGACTCAGTGAGTATTAGTGGAAGGAATGTCAACGATAAGCCAGGCCCTGGCTAGGTACTTCCATACACCCACTTGTCTAATATCCACAGCAGCCCTGTGAACATGTGGCTCTTTGCCCCAGTCCCTCAGAAGCAGGGCCAGCCGGGAGCGCTGTGCAAGGGATTTAGGAGGGAAATGGACAGAGAGCCGGACCTGGGCTGCAGGTGTGGTCCTTGTGAAGGAGAGAGGCAAGGAGGGAAGGCTGGGTGGCAGGAAGCATCTTATATGACGTAACAACTCTAAGAGAGTTCAGCAGGGCCCTGGAGGGCCCAGGAGCCAAACTGGCCCCTCTCAGAAGCCCAGCACTTTCCAGGCATCGGCTCAATACTTAGCCGTGGGCTAGGAGCAATCCTAGGAAACTGGCCTTGTCCCTAACCGATGACTATCAGAGGACAGATCTCAGAGCTCAGCATCTGGGCAGCCATGCTCTGCGCTGGAAAATCGGAGCAGTGCATTTCCTTGGCCACCCTAGTAGTAGCATTCCCATTTCAGGCACAAGGAAACCACGGCACCACCAGATGAGTAGCAGCCTAACAAGCCCAACAAGTTGCTGGGTGGTGAATCCTGCCCGGACCAGAATGCAGTAGGTCTCGTGGCCTCTGAAACCCTCACGTCGTCTCCGCTGTGCATTGCTGCCTCCCAGCTGCCATCCAGGAGAGTCTGGGGACAGGGGCTTCAGCTGGAGGACTCGGCGAGATGCTGTGATGCATTGGAAATGGCGGCAAGTCCTCTGAGACTCCTGTGGAGAGGTGAGGCCTACTGCTTCTTCCTTTGAATTTGTGCTGGACTTAGTGATTTGTTACATCAATAGAATATGGTTGAAATCACCATACCCTGGCACTTCTGAAGCTGGATGACAAATATATTTTGCCTGGGGCCTCTAGAAATCGTTGCTCTTGGAGCTCTGAGCTACTACGAAGCCAGCTACCCTGGGATTTCTGTGCTGGAGGGGACCCGGAAGAGACCCTAGAGAGATGCCTCGAGCCTGCAGGAGGAGAGGTGCCTGGTGGGCCCTCAGGGACCCAGCCATTGGAGTCACGGGCTGGAGACACATGAAGCAGTGATCCCTCCTTGCCCTGTCCCAAATGCAAAATAAAGGGTTGTTGTTTTAAGCCACTAAATGCTGGTGTAGTGCGTTACTCAGTTTTAGATAATTGGAGCAGATTGCGAGGGGAGGAGGGCTGAGCCTGGCACGCTGGCAGTGACAGTGGCTGCCCACTTCCAGCTCTACCCAGCTGAGCAGCAGCCCCAGAGAACCAGACCTGGGTGGGGTCTGTAATAACTTACGTCTTCCAACTGTCGTGGCCATAGTGTCTGGGTGGTCCCTGACTTCACATATCCGCAAGCAGCAGCCCTTCCTGACCCCGACCCTGCCCCATCTCTGCTATAGGTCCAGCTATTTAGCTGAGCTCTGCCCTGGGCCCCGATGTGCTTAAGTGGCCATGCTCGCCCACTCATCCTCACTCACCCCCTTCCTGGGCATCATATGCAGCCTCTGCGTGTCCTCTCTCCTTCATCAAGTAGGAAAAAGATGATTTGGTCACCTGCCTGCCTGAGTATGCGGCACCTAGCAGTCAGGCTCCAATCAAACTCCCTCTCCGAACTAAGACTCCTGGGAGCAAACTCCACCGTTACCCACCTGCACTCGCCCTGGGCCACCAGTGCCCGTTCAGTCTTCCTTCTCATTGCTCATCGAGGTTCCTTCTGGCCTCTCGTCTGGTCCACGAGGGAACAACAGACCTTGGGATGGAGGGAGAGGCCCAGATTTGCTAAACTCATCTCTGCGTGGGGAGAGATTCTGAGTGAGAATTTCCACCCCAGTGGCACCCCCCCCCCCCTTTTACCTGCCCCCCCGAGGTGCCCTCACTCGGGTAACACCACTCTGTTGTCCCCACTGCCAGGCAGCTGGTAAGCTGCTTCCCCTTTAAAACTCTGGTTCAAACTGGACAAAAACCTCTTTCTTGGTTCCTCTTAGCACAGCTGACCAGATTAGCATTTTAAAAACGTATTAAACAACAAGAGAGAACACAAAGGACCTAATTACAACTTAATAAACAACAACCTTATGTTCCCAAAATAGCCGTCTGTGTGATCCCACAGTAACTTCTGTCTCATGGTGAGGAGCTGACCTGACTTTTCAGCACCTGGCCTGGCTGTCTTCCTGTTCAGGTCCATCTTCTCCCCCCACCCCAGGGCAGCTACTGACAGGGGCCTTACCCCAAGCCCCCCAATTCTCAGACAAGCTTCCCAAGGCCCCTCCTTATTTCCGATCCACAGGACGTGTCACAGGATCAGCTCACTCTGCAGGTAACACTCCACCTCTCCATACAGGGTGTGGCTGCTGAAGGACAGGAACTGACTAATGACCTGCAGGGCGGGCTGTGTGGGAGGAGATTAGTGCTTTTACTAGGTAGATGGGGAGGCTAAGGCCCTGGCAGGGAGACAATCAGGAGACAACCTGGCGAGCATGTCAGACTCAAAGGCTAGCACGAGCCTAATAAACAAGGTTTAAGTTTATGTGGGCCACAAAAAAACAACAGCTTCAATATTCATAGAAACATGGGTTTATTTAAAAAAGTATAGCATATAAAAAAAAAAAAGAAAAGAAAAAAGAACAAGAGCCATGATAAAAGTCATGTTTTCTTCCTGACACTTGACATCTCTCCTCTGCTATTATCTTTCCTACTTTGGGGGAAATCTGGTTCGCAGCGATGACTTCCAAAACTGACCCAAGGTGAGTGTCAGTCATTCTGGATCTGACAGGGGACCTCTTTCCTTTCATAGTTGTAAATAACTGCTCACACTGATAAGTACTTCCAAACATGGAAATCATTTCTCATGTGAATTTTCGAGTATTTTCAAAGCTGGCAGGTAAATATTTGTATCATTCAGACACACCAATTGCACTGAATTTTGCCTTCAAGTCTGAATCACACTGGATCTCAATGACCCCCATTTGCGTTTGATTAGGAACTGATTCTATGTTTATTGTAAAGGTCGAAGAAAACTTGCCTTCCAAAAATTTAAAGTCTGCAAACCTTGTTTTAAATTCAGTTCTAAGGCTTAAAACTTTTCTGCATATTTTTTTATACGATGCAGTTTCACCTAAACTTGATTTGTTCATGTTGCATGTCAGAAAGTAGATTAAATCTTTATTTTTCAACTGCTTTTCCCAAAGAACTACATTTGAATGCGTTGACTTGGTCACACGTTTGTAATAATCTGATCTCTTTTTTTTTTTAAATTTTAAGTTTAAATCATAGAAGTGTTTTGTTATATCAACCATGAGAGATAAATCTTGCAGCCATATTGTGTCTTGATTTTTAAAAAATATATTTTATTGATTTTTTACAGAGAGAAAGGGAGAGAGATAGAGAGCCAGAAACGTCGATGAGAGAGAAACATCGACCAGCCACCTCCTGCATACCCCCCACCAGGAATGAGCCTGCAACCAATGTACATGCCCTTGACCGGAATCAAACCTGGGACCTTTCAGTCCGCAGACCAACGCTCTACCACTGAGCCAAACTGGTTTCGGCAGTGTCTTGATTTTTAGTTATTAAGAACTGACATATTTCTTCCTTCAAGTCCCAGAATTGTTTGAGAATCTTGGAGCAGGAGAGCCAACATACCTCAGCATTGTAGGACAAGCCGGAATATCTGCTGTCTAATGCACTTACGAAAGCAGAGAACTGTTGCCGATCCCTGTTGCGCACACCAAAGAAGTCAGTCCAAGACTAATGACATGGCAATCGGCTGCTAACATATTCGCTGCCAGGATTAGTGGAGAGAAATGGTGTGCCTGCACATAAGGCATGTAAGGGAAATGAATGCAACATGATTATAGTAATCAGTCATTAGTGAACGTTGTAGTTCGTTATTAATAATTACGCATAACAGGATATTGTAATCATTAAGCTATGAAATTTTTATTAA